GTGATGAATGCCATATGAGCAACTTTAACATATATTTTCATATTTCATGGCCACCCATGTCATATGCATATAATAGCCAAATTTCATCTCAATGTTAATATATCAAAGAGCATATATCAACATGTTCATATCAAACCATAATCCATAAGCATGTTATTTCATATATGCCAATAACACACTTAATTTACAAAGGCATAATTAAAGCACATAGCCTGCCCACACAATATCAAATTCCATGGAATTACACAAGTAATTACCACATCTCAATTTCAAGCTAGGAATCTATTTTAACCCATTTCTACATCCATTTTCATACCCATTTCATCAATTTCACAACATAGGCAAGTGATACATATTTTTATCAACCTACCCATTACATATAAAAAACCTAGGTTATAAAATAAACCNCCATGTCATATGCATATAATAGCCAAATTTCATCTCAATGTTAATATATCAAAGAGCATATATCAACATGTTCATATCAAACCATAATCCATAAGCATGTTATTTCATATATGCCAATAACACACTTAATTTACAAAGGCATAATTAAAGCACATAGCATGCCCACACAATATCAAATTCCATGGAATTACACAAGTAATTACCACATCTCAATTCCAAGCTAGGAATCTATTTTAACCCATTTCTACATCCATTTTCATACCCATTTCATCAATTTCACAACATAGGCAAGTGATACATATTTTTATCAACCTACCCATTACATATAAAAAACCTAGGTTATAAAATAAACCCGAATAGGAAGGAACCCTACCTCTTGAAGCATAAATAACGACTGCAGGAAGTCCCAAGAACACGCTTCTACCCCAAATCTCAAGCTTCCAAAAAATCTTGTACCTTGCTCTTCGGTAAAACCCGTCATTTTTGGTACATAGGCGTAGCCCTCGACGAGGAGACCGACTTTAACTCTTGGTCTGAGTGGATTTGAGCGACGGAATACTGTAGATCGTAGAGAGAAAGTGGAGGATCCAAGTTCTTTCCCTCTCTTCTTCTATCGGCTAACGGCTGGACAAGAGAATGGGGAAAAAAATCTGATTTTTCCTCCTATTTATATTTCTCAATGCTTGGCCCACAATGCGCCACACGAACCTATTTTTTTCGGGTCCGTTTTCGCCCTGAAATGATTAAATTTCGTTCCGGTTTAAGTTCAAAATATTTTTATTTTTAACTTATCTTAAATAATTTTCTAACTTTTGAAATTTTATCAAAAATCTCATTTTTGGGTCACTGTGACTTGACTGCCTCGTAAAATGTAAAAAATTCACCTATCTCAAAATTTGATAAAATTTGACAGAATAACTAGATTTTATGAGATGAATCAAATGGTGAGGTCTGTTTTGTAATCCTAGATCTAGAAAAATTTAGGTTTTCAACCCGTATTTTAGTGACAATTTACCGTTTTGTAAAAAGTTTAAATTCACTGGGTTTTACAAGATGTAAAGAACATTGCTTCTAAACAGATTTTTGCAAGATGATAGACTATTCTTTCTGTTTTTGATTTCAAAATTGAATATGTTAAAGGAGAATTAAATTCTCTTTTCGATTTTCTAATAAGAAAATTTTTGCAAGGCTCTGATGAACAGGGGCCAGAACAGTAACCGTGGTTGAGTCGCAAGAGAGGAAGATCTGGGGGATGAACCTAGATCAATGCTTATTATCCACCTATTAATGAATCAAAACAACTTAAAGCTGTTAATAATTGACTTCTTAAATAAGGATCATCAAGTAAGAATGATGATGACGGTTATATCGTTGTAAGATCTAAAAAATCAATTAAAGAGGCCTTAATAGCCAAACCCAAGTTAAATTATACAGAGTTAAATACTCTGCCTACTTATAGCAGCATAATGACTCTTGATAATGAATATATTAATTGGATGATAGATCCATATTACATTGCTAAGCAATTTATGACGATGGATACAACCTTCTTGGTATCTGAAAAAAAAANACCGACTTTAACTCTTGGTCTGAGTGGATTTGAGCGACGGAATACTGTAGATCGTAGAGAGAAAGTGGAGGATCCAAGTTCTTTCCCTCTCTTCTTCTATCGGCTAACGGCTGGACAAGAGAATGGGGAAAAAAATCTGATTTTTCCTCCTATTTATATTTCTCAATGCTTGGCCCACAATGCGCCACACGAACCTATTTTTTTCGGGTCCGTTTTCGCCCTGAAATGATTAAATTTCGTTCCGATTTAAGTTCAAAATATTTTTATTTTTAACTTATCTTAAATAATTTTCTAACTTTTGAAATTTTATCAAAAATCTCATTTTTGGGTCACTGAGACTTGACTGCCTCGTAAAATGTAAAAAATTCACCTATCTCAAAATTTGATAAAATTTGACAGGATAACTAGATTTTATGAGATGAATCAAATGGTGAGGTCTGTTTTGTAATCCTAGATCTAGAAAAATTTAGGTTTTCAACCCGTATTTTAGTGACAATTTACCGTTTTGTAAAAAGTTTAAATTCACTGGGTTTTACAAGATGTAAAGAACATTGCTTCTAAACAGATTTTTGCAAGATGATAGACTATTCTTTCTGTTTTTGATTTCAAAATTGAATATGTTAAAGGAGAATTAAATTCTCTTTTCGATTTTCTAATAAGAAAATTTTTGCAAGGCTCTGATGAACAGGGGCCAGAACAGTAACCGTGGTCGAGTCGCAAGAGAGGAAGATCTGGGGGATGAACCTAGATCAATGCTTATTATCCACCTATTAATGAATCAAAACAACTTAAAGCTGTTAATAATTGACTTCTTAAATAAGGATCATCAAGTAAGAATGATGATGACGGTTATATCGTTGTAAGATCTAAAAAATCAATTAAAGAGGCCTTAATAGCCAAACCCAAGTTAAATTATACAGAGTTAAATACTCTGCCTATTTATAGCAGCATAATGACTCTTGATAATGAATATATTAATTGGATGATAGATCCATATTACATTGCTAAGCAATTTATGACGATGGATACAACCTTCTTGGTATCTGAAAAAAAAGGATAGAATGTATTATGAAAATATTCTTATTGAAACTAATTCTATCAAATTCCAGAGATTTTTTAATAATAAATATGATACTATAGATCCTCAATATAGTAAAGCACTCTTTTTAAGAATGATTTCTGCTAAAGATTGAAGTCTTAATTTAACTATCCTCAGAACATTAACAAAATCTCCATATATGGAGTATAATTATATTGATTATATTGATGCCTGGTATAATGCATTATATAATTGTATAAATTTGGGGCACTCATGATTTTTCCAATTCACTGAAACCTGTACGGAACTTCCTAATTGGTTTTATGATTGGTGGGAAACCCATGGTGCTATGGAAGGGATATATCCCAAAAAAATGAAAATATTATTGGACTTGTATAAAAACAAAAGTCCATCCTTAAAGGATAATAATATTGAGGCTAAACCCATTATTAATTTCTGACTCGAATTCTTTGTTCCATGGATTTGGGTGTGGACTTTAGCCTGTGACTTTAATCAAATTGGACACCCTAGATTAATCAGGGAATATAATGTCCAATTCTAAAATAATTATCTAGTTGAATCTAAATGCCAAGTTATAGAAGAATGTCTTAAAGACATGGGAAATGAGGAAGAAAAAGAATCAACCTCTAAAGAATTAATTCCCAACAGCTCCAATACAAACACTAGATTTAATCCCATTGAAATCCTTAAAGGACAAATTCTTAAAGAAAAACCACATTTGACCACTGAGCAACTTAAAGCCGCAATAATGAACAAGATGCGTCTTTAGGTGATGTTGACATTTGAAATGGGCAAAATCGAAAAGATGGACCTCGTTAACAATCCAACAGTTGCCATAAAAGGTAGAGGTAAAAACAAAGTTGAGGAGGACGATAGGAAATTGACTCTGATGACGACTTTATGAATTCCCAGAGATATACCCCTATTAAAGGTGATATTTCTATTAATGATGATTTACTCAACGAAGATATGGAGATAAACCTCCAAGAAAGTGGTAAGGAGCTGTAAAATATGATCTATAGGAAATAATCGGATAAAGCTGAATCTCAAGGAGTGACGCACGCCAGGACGTCACCAGTAAATTATTGGAATAAGTGACGTCACAAACAGTAAAAATGACGTACTAAATGACGTCAATTTAAATTATTAAAGTTGTGTATAGTAAAAAGTTGGGAATAGTTTAGGTTANGATAAAGCTGAATCTCAAGGAGTGACGCACGCCAGGACGTCACCAGTAAATTATTGGAATAAGTGATGTAAGCAATGACGTCACAAACAGTAAAAATGACGTACTAAATGACGTCAATTTAAATTATTAAAGTTGTGTATAGTAAAAAGTTGGGAATAGTTTAGGTTATGTTGAAATCCGGATTTCATGTCCGGTTTCTATTTAAAAAGATACAGGTCCAGCTTGTTGGACACATCTCTCGTATTGTACCCATTTTCCTCTCTTGTCTCCTTCTTGCACCCTTTCTGAACCCACTCTCTCTCTCTCTCTCTCTCTCTCGTAATATAGCCTTCATCTTCAGACTTCTCCATCCCCTTTGTAAGTCTTGTATTATATATACTTTTGCATTAAATAAAAGCTTTCACTGATATTTGNCTTTCCTCTCTTGTCTCCTTCTTGCACCCTTTCTGAACCCACTCTCTCTCTCTCTCTCTTGTAATATAGCCTTCATCTTCAGACTTCTCCATCCCCTCTGTAAGTCTTGTATTATATATACTTTTGCATTAAATAAAAGCTTTCACTGATATTTGCCAATGATCCATACTATTCTGGTATCAGAGCCTTCAATGGTAGCTTAAATACATATTGAGGATTGATGAGTGGAATAACAGCCTGTTGTATGGGGTGTTTCTTACCAAAGTTTTTGAAAGTTTCAAGGTTAACTTCCATGGGGAGAGAACACATAAAAGGAAAAGGATTTTTCGGAAGTGCTACCTTAAAGAAGATGGTAGTAGACACTGAGGAGATGGTTATTGAAATTGAAAAGAGAGCTATGCGAGGGGATGAGTTGGAAGAAGAACTTCATGGAGGGCAAGAAGGTGGAAGTGGCCGTGGGGGTTGTTGTGATAAGAAGAGGACAGGGTGACCAAGGCGGTGGACAAGAAAAAGGTGACGGGTTTGAACAAGCACCGGGACAACAACCCAGAGATGGCGTGGAGGCACCGTGTGTGGATGATAATATAGAGGTGAACATGGAGGGCTTTAATCTCATGGATCGGCTTGTCACCTTACAAGAATTCCAACCACTCCAAGAGTCTGTGGCAAGTCTTTATGATCACTTTGATGGGTTAATGACCTACCTCAAGAAAAACTTTGGCGAGGGACCCAATCAACCTCATCCTCCCCCTACTCCTTAGAATGTTGTTGCTTGATATTCATTTTTTCAGTAACTAACACTACAGGGTTTATGGATGGTGTGTCTGTAAATCTTTGGGAGATCAGTGAGGAGTGCCAGAGGACGATAGTTACCTGTGTGGTGCTATGGATGCCTAGTACTTATTTTCCTAGGATAGTAAGTAGGACATAGTGTCCCTAAGGTGAGAGAACCCAAAGGACCTCGGGGTGTGTTACAGTTCATGTGTGGATTGGGATTGGTAATTGGTTGGTTATGTTGTTACATGTGGCATGCCACAACTTTTTAATGAAATGTGTCATGCATATAATGTTTTATGCTGCACACACTAGAATTCTTTTGTACAGACTTATGTTAGTGTGTTCTAATTGTCCTTCGCATAATCTTTTCATTAAAAACCTTGATAATGTCGGAGAAAATTTATCCTGCAAGGCTATCTAGCTCTCTCCTACTTATCATTTTTCAGAGATGGATCGAGGGCCTAGGGATGTCAATAAGGAGTATTAGCATAAAGCTTGATTATTCGCGTTGGTGGTAGTTTTTGGGTTGTATTTGGGATGTAGGGCTTTTGGTGTTAGACTGGTGACTTTGTAACCTAAACTTTTGAATTGTTATTACTTAAGCTTCGGTATGTAAACTTAAAAAGGGGATGATCGAATGATGTATGTGGATTGATAATCCACTAGGTTACTATTACTATGGATTGAGGTTTGGTTTATTTATTGTTCGATGCTTTGACTATCTTGTAGCCTACTGTTTCATAAGTGATAGTCATATTGATACATGATTTATTTTCTTACAAGTTCTTAGGGAATTTGAAAAAGATTTTCCCTAAATCGGCTAACTTGCTTGGTTTTTGTTATGACATTTTCTTTAAGAAAACCTATAGTAACCTATAGTAACCTATTATGGTTTTAAACTCACATTTCTCGTTTTATAAAAAAAAAGGGCCGTGACATGGATCCTTCTCTATGCCTTGGAGTTCAATGACTTAAACTATTCTCCTATAGTAGATATAAATTAAAAGCGGCATAACAAAATGGAACTGATAAACTATTCTAAAACCCGAAAAATTTAAAATTTTATTAGAAAGGGTAAAACGATAATTAAGGAAAATTTTTCTAATTTGGATGAAAAACGGATCTCACCGTTGGATTCATCTCGCGAAATCTAGCTACCCAGTCAATTTTCGTCGAATTCTGAGACAGTTGGATTTTTTGCATCTCACGAGGCCATCGGGTATCACGCGACTAAATTAAATGCGATCAAATTTTATTCATGGAACCCAAAAAATAATTTAAATTTAGTTCAATAAAAATATACTGAACATAACACGGGGTAAAAGTTAATTGATTCGGAATAAAATCGAATCAGAGAAGACAGGACGTGTGGTTTTATAAAAGCCAAGCAAATGAGGGTATAGATAGGGAAGAAAATTCAGATTTTCTACCCCATTTACACTAGACACTTCTGAGAGAGAGAGAGAGAGAGAGAGAGAGAGAGAGAGAAGGGAGGGAAAAACAAGAGTTCTCCAAGCTTCTTCCTTTGATCTACGGCGATTCGGTTGTTGGATCTCTTCGGGGAAAAAGCTAAAGTTATTCTATGTGACAGAAGCTACGCGTACGTACCAGAGATCGTGTGTGTCACCAAAATCTCAAGGATGGGATTTTTGGGATAAAAACTTCAAGGCTTGATTTGGGTCATTTGAGATTTCTCCTACGCGGAATTATGCTTCAAGAGGTAGGGTTCCTTTCATAACTAGGTTTATTTCCAACCTATGGTTGAAATATGTAATGAGTAGGGTGTTAGAGATGAAGTCTTAGGTATTAAACATACCTAGGTTTGTTAAAATATGGAAATGGGTATAAGAATATGTTTTAAACAATTCTTGCATGATTTGGTTGTTGATGAAATTGCTTGACTTGGAATTTCATGGGAGATATGTTGTTTTGGGCATGCTATGTGTTTACATAATTTTGCCTATTAAGTGTTTGATAAAATGATTATCAGTACAAGTATGTTAATTGGATGAACATCACTTGTAACATGCTTGGGATTGATGTTATGAAATGTTGTTATATGCTTATGATAATGAACATGGTGTTGATATTATAATTGTACATTACATTAGCATATGAATGGGTAGCATCGAATTCCTGGACAATTGACATGAGTGTGAGTGTGTGTGCATGATTTTGCTAGCTCCAACTTATGTGACTNCTATGAAATGTTGTTATATGCTTATGATAATGAACATGGTGTTGATATTATAATTGTACATTACATTAGCATATGAATGTGTAGCATCGAATTCCTGGACAATTGACATGAGTGTGAGTGTGTGTGCATGATTTTGCTAGCTCCAACTTATGTGACTCAGTCGAACCTAGGTCTAACCTTCCCGAACCCACGTATTAATCCCTTCTCCATCGGGTGCAAGACCTGGTAACTTTGGATATGCACTCCCGTTGGTATGGAGTCCATAAAGTGTATTGGCATACGTGAAGACATTGGTGGAAGTCCATAGATGCTGTGTCANTAACCTTCCCGAACCCACGTATTAATCCCTTCTCCATCGGGTGCAAGCCCTGGTAACTTTGGATATGCACTCCCGTTGGTATGGAGTCCATAAAGTGTATTGGCATACGTGAAGACATTGGTGGAAGTCCATAGATGCTGTGTCAGTTGGGTACTCGTAAATACCCACATTAAGAAAGACCCGTAATTTATAAATGGTNCATACGCGAAGACATTGGTGGAAGTCCATAGATGCTGTGTCAGTTGGGTACTCGTAAATACCCACATTAAGAAAGACCCGTAATTTATAAATGGTCATTGGTTATGTGACATCAATGACAGGGGCTTGGAATACCCGGATGCATACACATGTCATTGCATGTGTTATGGGAGCCAGTGGAGGGCTCGGGTTGCATTACATGTGTGAGTTCCATCTCATGACATGTCATGATATTGTGGTATTCATTTATGAATTGTATAGTCTTGAATGAATGTTTGATTGATGAATTGCATGTGAACTTTTCATATACATCTGAGTTGGGGAGTAGCCTCCTTAGGAGATACCTTATTGAGCGTGGCTCACCCTTTATGGGGACATATTTCAGGTGTTGGACAAGTGTCGTTGGGTGACCCTCACTGGGCCCTTGTTGATGATGAAGCTTGGATGTGGCTTTTAAATTACGTTTGGTAATCCATTATGTTGTTTGTATTGGACTTGTAAAATTGTATTAAGGGTTATGTAATGAACTCTTATGGACCATAATTTGTGTAAATAAATGAATGGATGAGTATGTGAAGTGGTTGGATGATTAAAGGTTGAAGATTGGAAAGATTTGGGGAAAATCTAGGCTCAAGTACCGATACCTAAGTGATTAAGTACCGGCACCATGCTGTCGGATGACCCAAGTACCGGTACCTAAACCTATAGGCACCAGTTCCTAGATTCTAGTGGGCTCAGGTACTGGTACCTCAATGGATAGTGGGCTTAGGTACCGGTACCAATACACATAGGTACCGAAATCTAGAAAACAGTGGGCTCAGGTACCAGTACTAGTGTATACAGGTACAGTACCTGGCAAACAAAAGGCCTATGTACCGGTATCATGTGTCAGAGGTACCGTTACCTCGTCCTTGAAATTAAAATTTTAAAATGTAACACTGAGGGGCCTTCATATCTTGAGCGCTCCTTCTTGGATGATAAAAATGGACAATAATAAGCCTAATCATTGGAATTTGAACCTTGGAATTGTCTTATGATTATTGTATCCATAGATTATGGATTGGGTAGGTCTCTCGTACAAAGGAGACTCTGCCCATGGTTTGTTTTGGTTATGATACTGGTGTATGGGGAGTAATGACGTGGTACTGGGTTATGTGGTACTCATGGGTGTACTTCCGTGTGTTGATGGGTGATCAACGGATTGAGAAAGGACTCCTGAATTTTGGGGCATCACAACTTGGTATCAGAGCCTAGGTTCTTGATTTACCTAGGCTTGCGGGCATAAGTCTAGGCCATTGCATTCATTTTGCGTTACATGTTATGTGCATTAAATTTTACATATTGTGTGATATGTGATTACATGCATGATTGTATGTGTATAAAAATCTGACACTAGTGTTAGAAAACATAACCTTAGGGGTCGAAAATGAAAGTATGGGAAAATTTATGGTTTGGATGTCTACTAGTGGGTGGCATACCTCCCACTAGTGAGAAAAGAGGAAAATTAAATTTCCAAATTTGTAATTTTGTTCCCAAACCATAGGATACTAATTTAGTGTTCTAGTTCTATCTTATGTGTGTGTACATTACAAATAGAGGTAAAGGACACCAGAATGGCAAAAGGGATGGGCGGAATAGCAACCAACAACCACCGGCCTTTAATCAACAAGCCTTTATGGAGGCTATGGGCAAGATGACTGCCTCCTTTATGCAAGCCAGTGCCAACATGGGCCAAGGAGGGGTGGATTTGATGGTGGCCGACCATTGGTTCCAAAAAGTAGACACAATCTTGGAGACTATGGAGATCACATCTGACACAACTAAGATAAGACTATCTGTGTTCTAGTTTAAGGGAGAGGCCCATCTATGGTGGGATTGGGCAAAGGCCTCAAAGAACATAGAGGCAATGACTTGGAGAGAGTTCCGAGAGCTCTTTGATGAGGGCGTAATATTGCATATTTAACGGCCTCATTACAAGGATTTTGACTCAACTTTGCATTTAATTACTTAGAGTTAGTCAAATTTGTGAATAATGTTAAAATTTTGATGTTACAGGTAATCATAGGGTAAATGATGGCTTTCGAAACCCTGCAACTAAGTGTGGATGAGTGGTAAAGAGATGAACACATTAAATAAAGATTTAGAGGCTTAAAAGTAAAAGAAATCAAGGAGGTAGCGGTACCTAGTATCATAGGTACCGGTACCTAAGCTTGCTGTAATATTGGTACCGACACCCGCACTATTTGGTAGCAGTATCCTGATATTTT